GGTGTCCCCCAACCCTCTGTTTTGTCCATGCTGGGAATAGAACCCAGGGCCACGAGCAAGCGAGGCAATTGCTACCACTGAGCCATGACCTAACCCTTTTTATTGGTACCAGGAATCGAACTCACAACCTCGCACTTGCCAGGCAGGCGTTGTGCCACTGAGCTATATCCCTGGCCCAAGGTGTCCTTTTTAAATATGGTAGCTTCAGGTTAAGAATAACCTAAAATGTTCAACAATGGCAGAACGATGTGTTGAAATTTTATGCCATTGTTAAGAGTGATTTTTTCTTTTCTTTCTTTTTGGAGACAGTGTCTTGCTATGTGGCCCATCACCTGCCAAGATGGATTGTTACAAACCTTTTCTTTAATGCTTTGGGAAAGTGCTGAGTGTATGTGGAGGGAAAGCAGTTCAAAATATCAAACCCTGGTGTTGGGTGAAAGATGGGGGACGACCTGTCCAGTCAAAGGGGAACCATCTCTGAGGGGGTGACGTGTTCTTTCCCTATTTTTCTGGACACTAGGGGATTTCTAGCATGTTATGGATTTTTAATTTTAAAATACAAACAGAAAAACTAGCCTTCCAATATCAGCATCCTCAGGATACAGAGTTTAAAAATACCATTTCCTTTACCCAACTGCCCTTGTGTCCTGAGCTGAGCACCCCGACACTGACCCAGACCCTTAAGGGAGCTAATGCATCGGATGGCTCTGTGCAGGGTGACTGAGAAGCAGTATCTTTGCCATCAGTGTCTTTCCGAGGAACTGAGTTTAGAAATCCGTCTCTACTAAGATGCCCTTCATCATCCTAAGCCCTCTCATTCTTTGTCCCAGGTCCCATGATGTGAAAAATGGAGGTGATCTTACTCATTCCACCCGTCATCCCGGTCAGTCCTCTCCCCGCCCGGTCACCAGTCATCGGGGTGTCACCAACAAGCAGGCCGCATCCGGGCTTACTGGCCCACAGCTACCCTGTCACACAAGAAAGGTAACACTTTAGAGGTGGCATCTGATTTTTATCTCACTCTAAGGTCTATCCTCAAACCCTCTCTATACCTGGATTTCTTGTCAAAAAAGGTTATGCAGACCTTCATTTCAAAATATTAAATATAGACAACTGGGGATATAGCTCACTGGCAAAGTGCCTGCCTGGCAAGTGCAAGGTCCTGAGTTCAATTCCCGGTACCAAAAAAAAAAAAAAGCATCCACCAAAATATTAAATATACAGGAATCTCAGCGTGAACAGGGTGGTGGAGAGGAACATCTGATGTGAGTATATCTAAAAGTTAGCACTCGCTGTGGACTTGTGATCCACTCACGGGTTAGATAGGTGAGTTTGTAAATCACGTTAGACATC